TCGGGTACCCCCAGACGAACGGTCAGGTGGAGAACGCCAACCGAACGATAATCGATGGTCTGAAACGGAAGCTGGAAGCCTGCGGAGAGGAGTGGGCTGAAGAATTGCCCTACATCCTATGGACCTACCGGACCACGCCGAGGAGGGCGACCGGGGAAACCCCCTTCGCCCTGTGCTACGGATTTGAGGCAAGGGCCCCCGCTGAAATTTCTATTGCAACGCATAGGGAGGAGATCTTCGACCCCGAGCGTAACGAAGGAACCTTGGCAGCCGAGCTCCACCTCGTGCACGAGAGGCGAGAAGCGGCCTTCATACGGGCGGAAAATTACCGAAGGAAGGTGAAGAGCTACCATGATGGACGTGTGCGCGCACGGGGGCTCACTGAAGGAGATTGGGTCTTGCGCAAGAGAGCGGTGAGCCGCCCCCTGGAAGGGGGAAAATTTGCCAAAAATTACGAAGGCCCATACATCATTAAAGAAACGGTGGGTCCGTCGACATTCCGCCTGCAGACGCCGAGCGGAGGAGACGTGCCCAGGACGTGGAATGCTGAGAACCTAGTCAAGTTTTATCAGTAGATTTCCGATGTACACGGACCCCAAAGTAGGGAACCCGTAGATCCTTTTGGAGGGACAATGGAATGAAGTTTTATTCTTTGCGAAGAGAACTTGCTTTAACACTCGCGCTCGGCGTTCCTCCTAAGGGGAAGAGCTGAGCGCAGACCATTCCCGGATGTTCTCCCCGGATGAAGGTCACTGGTTCTCGGCACTCCCTCTTAGGAGTGAGGCCGAGTGTAGACCATTCCCGGATGTTCTTCCCGGATGAAGGTCACACTTGTGCTCGGCATCCCCCCTAAGGGGGAGAGCCGAGCGCATACCATACCCGGATGCGTTTCCGGATGCCAATCAAACACGCGTGCCCGGCACTCCCTCTTAGAAGTGAGGCCGAGTGTAGACCATTCCCGGAGGTTCTTCCCGGATGAAGGTCACACTTGTGCTCGGCATCCCCCCTAAGGGGGAGAGCCGAGCGCATACCATACCCGGATGCGTTTCCGGATGCCAATCAAACACGCGTGCTCGGCACTCCCTCTTAGGAGTGAGGCCGAGTGTAGACCATTCCCGGATGTTCTTCCCGGATGGAGGTCACTTGTATTCGGCATTCCCCCTAAGGGGGAGAGCCGAGCGCAAACCATACCCGGATGTTCCTCCCGGATGAAGGTCATGCGCACGTGCTCGGCATTTCCCCTTTTTTGAGGAAGAACCGAGCGCGGGTAAAAAAATAAAAAATAAAAATGCGCCCCACGCCTCTTGAAGGCCGAGTGCAACTCTTCAGCCCAAAAGCGAAAAGCGAAAACAAGATTTAATCAAACTCAAATTTTATTTATCCCGGAAAACGGGCAAGTACATGGCACGAACGACTTACCACAATTAAGCGCATTACAAATAATTAAAGTGCGGGCAAACTTCAGTGCATGCCACAATTCCACCCACGCTCGCAAGGGCAAGGCGGGGGGTAAGAGGATGGAGAAGGAGCCCTTTGACAACAGAATGACCGGTAGATTCGGCGAAGCTGGGCGAGCCCGGGTCTTCAAGGGATTTCCGGCTCGGATGATGAGATGCCACGGAGCCCTCACTCGCGTCCGCCGCTGGAGGAGCGGGAGGGCGACGCCCACGGCCACCACGGTAGGCGGCAACTTGGGGAGGGGGGACCTCGCGACGAATCGGCGGAGAGGGGGTCTTCTCGTCCTCCTCCGACGAGTAGTAGATGAACCCCGGGATCTTAGCAGAAGGATCGGGGTGCACTGACTCGGACTCAGAGTCCGAGTCCCAAGAGTCCCGCGGCGAGGGCGGCGGGGTCGAGCTTGGCCCTGACTTGGTCGGAATGGCCGAAGACCACCAAGGGAATGGCTGCCGAAGGAGAACGTCTCTCCTCGCTCCTCACTGGAATCGGGGGGAGTAGGAGCAGAGCGCGGCATGATGGAATTAGAAGAATTCAAAGGAAGCAAGTGATGAGTGCAAGCAAATGGTAAAGACCCCTCCCTTATATAGGCATCTCGCCTAGGGGGAAGGGTACACGTGGCGGGACGGGAACGGCCCAGCGGGTGGCAGGTCAAAAGCTCAAGTCCCATCAAGTGTCTCGGGTAACGAGGGGTCAGAGGACCAAGTCCTAAGGTGACCTCCCCTCGGCGTGGCCGAGTTCCGGTCGGACGGGGGTTGGGCGAGCACACAAGTTGGACGAAGGCAGCATGAGTAGAGACAAAAGAGAAGTACGACATACCCATATAGAACAAAGTCATGACATATCCATATAAGTAGAACACAAGTTCAAAAAGGACTTCTGAGCAACATTACATCAAATACAAAGTTTTAAGTTTCTATCAATTGACATTCGCCTGCTCGACAGCCGTGTCCCCGCCATTCGGGTAATAGATGGAGGCGTCGAACTCATCAGGATTGTCGCACGGTTCGGGGAGGTCCACCCTGTTGAGGAACCTGTCAGAGAGGACCTGCTGCGCTCGGAAAAGACCGAGGTTGTACCACTGAGTCCCCTCGGAACGAGCAAAGGCCTTCCCCTCCTCAGTCTTCCCCCATGCCTTGAGCAGGTCATTCATGCAGGCGAATGCCTCATCCTGGAATGCCCCCGAGGATAGAAACTCCGCCACGGCTTGCTCGCGAACCTCCCGGCGCGCCTGCCGAGCCGCCTCCGCGATCTGCTGAGCCTGCTCCTCGGCTCGCTGAGCCCGCTCCTCGGCCTGACAAGCTTGCTCCTTGGCCACCTTCAACGCCTCGTTGAGGTCAGCTATCTCAACGTAAGCTCTGCTCCGGTCAGCCTCATTGATGCGCAGTCGCTGGGTCATGTCGACCATGCGCATCATCGCCTGCACGTATACAAGGGGTGAGCGCTGCAGAAAATGTGTTTACAAAGTATGAATGGAGAAACTTACCGAGCCCATCTCGTGAAACATGTCCGAGGCAAGAGCTTCCCGGTCGGCGTCCTTGATCTTGGCGCGGTCGGTCGGGGGGGTCATGCTACGCAGAAAAGTCTCCGGATCGTAGTCCCGGTCCAGGAAGGAGACCCCTGCGGGGAAGGCCGCCTTGACATGCCTCTGGTGGCCGAAATCCTTCATCAGGGGGGACTCGGACCCCGTGGGAGTGTCNGTATACAAGGGGTGAGCGCTGCAGAAAATGTGTTTACAAAGTATGAATGGAGAAACTTACCGAGCCCATCTCGTGAAACATGTCCGAGGCAAGAGCTTCCCGGTCGGCGTCCTTGATCTTGGCGCGGTCGGTCGGGGGGGTCATGCTACGCAGAAAAGTCTCCGGATCGTAGTCCCGGTCCAGGAAGGAGACCCCTGCGGGGAAGGCCGCCTTGACATGCCTCTGGTGGCCGAAATCCTTCATCATGGGGGACTCGGACCCCGTGGGAGTGTCGGTGGCCGAGGCCGTATCCTTCCTCTTCTTCTTCTGGGCCGGCTCGGGGATCGGCTTCACCGGCGGAGTCGGAGGATGACCGGCCACGGTAGGAGCCCGGGAACTGCCGCTTGTGGCATCTCGGAACATGAGCTTCATCCGCTCGGCGCTGGAAAGCATGATTTCACCTGCACAACCAAAAAAGATAAATGATGAGGCGAGGACTTAAGCCGCGAAAGAGCGAGGTGGGAGAATCCGAGGTAGTCGTGACCCACGGACGGCCGAGGAAGAGAGATTGCACTGACCTGAGGGGCCTTCTTCGATGCTCCGCTGAGTTTCTTCTGGGGATAGGAAGACGAATCCAAGCGCCGCCAACGCGTCGTTCGTCACTATCGATCCGACCTTGAAGGGCCCCCCTCGGCAGAGCGTCTCTACATCCTCGAGCATCTTGTCCGAGTTGATGAAGGCGGAACGGCGTCGGAAGGAGCTGAGGGGTTCCTTACGAAAGGGGGAGCCCGAGGATAGAGAAACGAAGACGAATTTCCCCTTCCAACTCTTGGGGGAGTCTTTTCTCGTCTTGAAGAGCTTCTCCTGTCTTTGGAATATGGAGGCGTACGAGCCCGAGTCAGAGTTCGCCCGACCGGACGACTTCGCCAACCGGAAGAGAAGCAAGAAACGGGCCAGATCGGGGCGAACCCCGGTCCCTTGGCAACGAATGAGAAATCCCGCCAAGTAGCGGTGGGATTTGGGCACGACTTGGCAAGGGAGGAAATCAAAGTGGAGGAAGAAATCTATAACTAGCTGGTGGAGGGGGAAGCGAAACCCATACTCGAGGGACTTGAGGTGGATGGCGAAGGAACCCGGTGGGGCGTCAAAGACCGACTGTTCGGTAGTAGGACGTTGCATGGTTACACCGGGCGCCGAGGCTAGGCGCTTCGCTTTGCGGAACTCCTCCCGAGTAAGGGTGCACTTTCGCGCTCGAATCCCCGAGTCCTCGAGAACGGTCCGCCTCTGATTGCGAGGCTCAGACTGGAGGGGAATCTCGACCGCTTCGACTATCTCCTCGACGGAGGGCAAGCGGGAGTCACTCTCCTGCACGGAGCCTGCGACGGAGCCCTCAGCACCGCGCTCGGACTCGGACTGACGAAAGACCGAAGATTGGGAAGACATGGAAGAGAAGGGACGAGGACTAACCTAGAATGGAGTCGGAAGATGGACGCGAACGACGGTGAAGGGTCCTACTTTCTCTCTCTAAAAGGTGAAGAATGAGATGAGTAGGGTGGGTATTTATAGAGCAAGGTTTTGAATGGGTGCAATGATGGGCCACCACTTGGCCTAGGGAGGCGAAACGGCGCACCCCTTCATGATTGCGAAGCCCAAACGGCACCAATGGCCTGCTATCCCCCTCCATCGCTGATTGCAACGAAACCCGGAGAGTGGGGGGCTTATGATGGAGGACGACCCCAAAAGACACGTCAGCCGGGCCCATCAGCCACGTGGAAGATTTTCTCTGCTCGGCCCATGAGCTCGGCTCGGCCCGTGAGCTCGGCTGGAGACCGTGATAGCGACCGCCGGATAGCGACCGGCCACGTTGACTGCGCAACAGCGATGGGATGAAAGAGACAACGCATAACCTCGATCAGAGAAACTTTGACTATGTGTATTGTATCCCCTATAAAAGGGGAGAGACCCCTCATTGTAATGGATCCAAGTTTAGAACGAATAAACTCCTACTTTGCATTCTCTCTCTCTCTCTAAAACTTATATTATTCTTTGTTCTCGATGGTTTATCGCCATCAATTTTAATACCTTAATATATAATAATTTAGAGATAGTTTTGTGACAATAATATTTTGTACTCCATTAATCACAAAATATATTTTTCCAATTAAATATTTTGTACTCGAAAACTATAACAAAAATTTTATCCCGTACAAAATAAAATGTGACATGATTATATTAGTTTATGAATATTTGAAAAAAAATAAATATTTTAAAACAAAAGTATAGTTTAACTATAAAAATAGTAAAAGAAAATTAATTAAACATTTAAATGGATGAATGGAGTGCTATTTTCATATTTTAATATATAATAATTCAGAAAATATTTGGTGACACTAGTATTTTGTACTCCATTCATCACACAAAATATTTTTCAAAAATATATTTTGCACTTGAAAACCAACACTTTTATTTTGTATAAAATAAAATGCAACATGATTATATTATTTTATGAATGTTCGATGAAAAATATATTTTCAAACATAAGTATAATTTGACTTTATAAATAGTAAAGAGAAATATTTAAGGGACAAATGGGGTATTATTTTCATTTTTAATATATATGAGTAATAATTAAGATAATATTTTGTGAAACTAATATTTTGTACTCCATTGGCACACAAAATTTTTTCACTTTCTTTCTCTGTAAAAAAACACTTATTTATAGACTTGGAAAAACACAAATGAAACTAATTGTCCAAACGAATTTATCTGAAATCAAAATTAAAAGACTCAAAAATTGAAGATTCAATCTATAAATGAATAACTGAAATGATATGAATCGAACAAAGATCGAACTAAATATATCCATACCCAATTTAGATTTTAAATCGATTAGATTCAAACAAAGGTGTAGATTTTCGTGCAACTAAAAATATGATATATAAAAAAAATTGTGAGTACATTAACTTGTATCAATTTTCAATTACTTTATTATAAAAGTTAATAACTCTTTTTGTAGTCATTAGTCTGTGTAAAATAATATATTTATAATTACACTTTATGACTCTTTTCGTCCAAAAAGAGAATTACAATCTTCACTGTTCAAAAATCACATAAAGTTTTATTTATTTGTGCATTTTGACTGACTATTTGATAATTTTTTCGTCAACTCGTATTTTGTTGAACTTTTATTTTGAAATTCTATATCAAGCTTTAAATAGAATGAATTTAAAAATTTTGAAAATTCATTTCGTTTTCCTAACCAATGGAGTATTTTTTTAGGATGGGGTATTTTTTAGGATTAGGCTACTTGTACTCTAAAATATATATCCGAAATTGTACAGTGCATATGTGCATTTTAATTTTGTGCTAGTGTAATTTTAAGATAATGATTTTTATAGACATAAAATGTTATACTACGGAGTACTAATTTTTTATTGAATTAGTATTTTAAATGAAAAAAAATGTTTAAATCATTTGTAAATTTTTTGTTGAAAGTGAAACACCGCAAGTCCGCAACTTTCACATAGGTTTTTCCAATATCCGCACGTTTATAAATCTGCGGCGGGGCTTATTACATCTCCGTCGCCGGAACCTTCTTCCTTCGTCGGACGACACTTTCATCGGAGCATCTTATTCCCATCCCTCTGCTCTTCAATGGCTTCTACCGCATCATCGGCGGCTCTATTTTCTTCCAACCCCATTTCATCTAAACCCGCCGCAATCCCCTGTTTCTCTCAAACCCTAGCTCTTCCATCCTCCTCCCATGGCGTCCGCAATGCCAAGCCTCTGGTTACCCACGGACCCCGCAGCCTCTCTTCTCTCGAAACCCGTCACCGCACCAGAACCGTCGCTCGCGCTTCGGTAAGCAGCCCGTTTTTTTAATATCAATTTCTGCATTGGCTGTGAAAAATTTATGCATGTTAAATGTGTTTCTCGGTTATTCATGGTGAATTAAGCTCATGTTAGGGTTCTTATTCGCAGAGGGGACTTCCACTGGTAGGAAATGAGGCGCCAGATTTTGAGGCTGAAGCTGTTTTCGATCAGGAATTCATTAATGTATGTTTAGTTTCCATCCTCATCAACATTGGAGATTATTAAACATGATAAATAGATACTCACTCGTTCGGATTTAATTGACTAATTCCTAAAGGACTCAAATCTATGGCTTTAAAAATGGTGGGACAAGTTTTGCTCAATACCATATGATTGATTTGTGCTTTGAGTAAAAGCACACATTCTTCAGCTTGTCATCAAGTTTTATATCTTCCACATCAACACTAGAGAGTATCCCCTTCCCCAATTTGGATGTAACTGTCCTTCTTATGCTTTTGGGACATTTAGAATTGATTGTCGAATTACATCAATTGTCCAACATGCCCCTTAGGTATAAGAAACATTGCTTCAAATATTTGGTTACATATTTGAAATAACAAACACACCTTAGTGACGAATTTTTTCATTGTATCGAAATCTTTAAACTTGAGGTATTCTGGGTAGTGTCAAGAAAAGGAAAAGAATCTGCTTTACATTCTACAATGCTAAATATGTATTGACATTGCAGGTTAAGCTTTCAGAGTATATTGGGAAGAAATACGTGATTCTCTTTTTCTACCCACTAGACTTCACATTTGTTTGCCCCACTGGTGAGTTCAAGTAATGATGACAAAGAGCGCTCCGTTTTTCTATAGTTGTTTTTTAAATACTATTGTCATATTTTAGGTTAAGCATCTTTTTTTGCAGAGATCACTGCTTTCAGTGACCGCTATGAAGAATTTCAGAAGTTGAACACTGAAATCTTGGGCGTATCAGTTGACAGTGTGGTTGGTTTGCTTTTCGTTTTGATTCTTTTATATTCATGTGCAGTTATTTTAGATTTGGGAACTCGTATATGCATGTGCCCGAAATTATGTATTTTTTGTATGCGGGTCTGGTCATGTGTGCGGTCTGAAAGCTATGATTTTAATGTCTTTGCAGTTCTCTCATCTTGCATGGGTCCAAACAGATAGAAAGTCTGGGGGTTTGGGTGATCTGAAGTATCCACTGATATCCGACCTGACCAAATCAATTTCAAAATCTTATAATGTCCTGATTCCGGATCAAGTAAGTCTCTTAAAAATTACCAGTTCGTTTCGATCATTCCTGAAAAGCCACGATTTTCGGCATCTTCACCACCAATATAGCCACTCTGTATATTCTTCATGAATTATTGTGGAAAAGTTTATTCTCTTGCTCATCCAGGGAATAGCACTGAGAGGACTCTTTATAATCGACAAGGAGGGAGTGATTCAACATTCCACCATTAACAATCTTGCCATTGGCAGAAGCGTTGATGAAACCTCGAGGACACTCCAGGTAACCATATAATTCATTGTGATGAGGGTTGTTGGGTAAAAGGCACTCACTCCATTGCGCGCTATATGATAATTGAGCCAAATGACATTAAAAAAAGCTGGATTCAATTGAATTGCTAGATCAAACCAAGACGTTATTATCCTAGTATCGTGTTCCTTAACCCCATATATGTTTGCCATTGTGCGGTGCAGGCATTGCAACACGTACAAGAGAACCCGGACGAGGTTTGCCCGGCCGGGTGGAAGCCTGGGGAGAAGTCCATGAAATCAGATCCCAAGCTGAGCAAAGAATACTTTGCAGCTGTGTGAGCAAGACATCAAAAAAACATGTTTTTGTTGAATAAAGAAATCTCATATTGTTACCCCGTGTTTGGTTAGGGGATTTGGAGTGGGTTGAATTCATTTTTTCATCCCTCAAGTGAAAATTATTGCATTATACGAAGTAATTTACTATCACCTTACCATCATCATCTCCCATCTCACACGGTAAAAATGCAACTGTGAATATGTGGTAATTCTGTACATTTATATGTTTATTCACATGTACATAAGTAATTAAAATCTCTAGCGTTGAAGCGTATACAGATACAAGAAATGTGACGTAACATCATGTGGACTTATCCACTAATGAAACTGACACCACACCCATTAAAGTGACAAAAGAAATGTGAATTTCTGCGTCCCTTTCTGCGAAATTGAGAAAATGGTCCTATCCTTTTCAAAAATCCCCTTTAAGGAAATTCAAAAATTAAAAATTCAAATGAACTTTTAACATAGCATTTTGTTCAAAATAAAAAGCATCTCGACCCTAGCCAGGGACTCTGTCCCTTGGACCCCACAGTGGCTGTCGCTCCTTGAACCCCGCTCGGTAGCGCTGTCTCCTTGATACCCCGTTAAGACACCACTTTTATCATAGTAAATTTAACGAAGTGTGTACTCTGCACCACCAAACTTCTTTGATGATTATTATGATATCATTGGTCAAATGATTTTTTCAATTATACTAAAATATATAACACAAAAGGAGTGGTTTTCTTGATATTGCTTAACTATGTCATGAGATAATTCGATGGTTCTATGGTGTCTCGAGGGTTCTGTGGTGTCTCGTTCGTAAACTTACAATTCTTTTTCTTTTTAATCCCAACAAACCCTCCACCTTCCCCCAATACGAACCACCTCCTTCAATTGCACTATTCAAATTTATTTAGCTTTGGAGTAATTTTTATTACGGAGTACTAATTAATACTCCTTAGTAATCTATCATAAATACAATGTATCACTAAATACTCATTCATTCTAAATTAAGTTGCATGTTTATTATTCACATGGTTAAGTTTCATTCACTTTATTTTTTCATTTTTGTTACTAATTTGATAAAATAATATACTCATGTCACTTCTTATTTCGTAAAGCATTTAATATATTTTTTAAAAAGTTTATTTTTTAATTTTGCTCCAATTTTTTAATAAATTGCATTGGAGATGATTTCAATCAAACATCGTAAATCAAAATATGAGATTTAAATTGGAAAAGGGAGTAGTATTTTCTTTGTTCCAATTTAAGTTGTCTGTTTATTATTGATATTTTGATAAAATAATTAATATGAAATAATCATTTCGTCTCCTATTTTGTAAAATTTTTAGCTTTGATTTTTAAATACTCCTTCGCTTCGATGTAAGTAGTATTTTCTTTGTCCCAAAAATATTGTCTCGCTTCGATTAACGTGCAAAATTGCATTGTTTTTTAAAATGATTTTTGTTACAAATTGGTATAAAAATAAAAAATACAAATCACACATTTCAAAACTTGATCAAAAATTCTATAAAATAGAATGCGACAAGAATATTTTAGTTTATCAAATAATCAATGAAAATATAAAATAAATTAAAATTATCGAGAGATCAGAATAGTAATTGAGACGATATTACTAGGACAAACAGGAATATATATAAATTTTATTTTTAAATTATACCGCAACTTTTAAAGAAATTCAATTGAAAATAATATTAATTAAGTATCGTCATATAGTAACTTAAATCATGAGAGATGGTATATAATGGAGTTCCCATTTTGAAAACTAAAGAGAAATATCAATAGCATATATATGTCATGTTCTCCTCAATTTATTGTTTTTAGATATTACCTATTTTTATTAGAATCAGATGAGATAAATAACTTTAAATATTAAGATATTCTTATCACATCAGACAATATCAGATCAGAATTTATTCCAATCAGATTAGAATCAATCAGATCCGGTAAAAGAGAACATGGGCATAGAAGAATGGAGCCCTAAGTCCCTAACTATCAGTTTACGTGTTTGGATTAGAAAACATCATTAGAGAATATAAATGAGATGACACAAAGTTGCTACTTGTATAACACAAGTAACTATGAGATGTGACTTACAGAGTGCTGTAACGCATTCCGTGTCGCTAATGCAAAAATAGAAATACGAAATCAGTAAACGATACACAATAAGGTTACACAGTTCGGAACAATATCTCATACTTGTACGAGACCCACGTCTATGTAATTTTCTTACACGTGATTTGACGTAATCTTTTGCAAGTGATATGATGCAATCTTTTACACGCAATTTGACATTAAACTCTATTTGTGAGCCTAGTTCAAGAACATCAAGATTCAACTTTTAGACTTCAAGATGAAGAAGGTGTTTGGCAGTGCGCTGCTTTTAATGGTTTAGCGTCTGCTTTTAGTGGAAGTGATTTTACTCTGTTTGGCATGACAGTTTCTGCTTTTTACCACCACTATTTTGTACATAGAATTCCGTTTCGGAGAAGCAGGTATGAGGTGCTTTTGCTTTTGTGAAAATCACTTTATCTACAAGTTAATCACTCATAAACACTCTCAAAGTCTTGTTCATATAATCATGTGCTGGCTTCCTGGTTGCATATGATGAACTCAAGCTATGAGATTTCACACAGATACAGAATGGGAACGACGTGATCTTCATATACTAGAACTGAACTCCTCACCATTTGTAGCCTCTCTAGTACTTGTTCCATTTCTCTCACAACTCAACTATACAAAGCATAAGAAAAACAATCTATGAAAGTAACATAGTATAAAACATACCAAATACATTAAATATAGTTAATTCACAATACATATTTAGATATTACACTCCAAACAAATAAAATACTATATATTTTGTAAAATGGTGGAGACAAAAACAATGGGACCTCCACAAAACACTTGTGCCTTTTTTTCTTTCTTTTTTTTTTACCTTTTCCTTGTGGACAATGTGTACAAAACAGACTTTCACTAAAAGAAGGGGCATGCACACAATAATATCCTTCCAATATGACTCTTATCCACCACCCATCCATCCCACCCACAAAAAAAAGACAGCTTTAAAGTTTCTTGATGCATGCATGCCTCCCTAGCTAGGGCAACAACATTCAGTGCATACATACATACAATACATTACAAAATGATAATTATATCTGCAAAAGTTGTCAACTCCCATCCATATTTAAAGGGCTAATAAACTTGGTAAGACATCATCATGATCATATCACATTAGGGCGTTATGCAGTCGGAACGCCGGTTTCCACCACCGGTGTGAAATTATTTATCCTTCCAACATCTTCCCACACCAACTTCTCCGTTATTTCGTCGCACTGTGGCACGTATTCCTGATGATACATACATAAATAATTCACACATTAATATACATATAAACACACACACACACACATTATACATGTATAATATATTGAACAAAAATAGGAGGATTTCTGTTGTTTTTGGGAGATGATCACCTCGAGTTCTTGGACCAACTGTTTGGCTGTGGGGGCAGACACGATTATGCGACGTGCAATTGGGGAGATAAACCCTTCGTCGACGGCTTTATCAATGAAACATAACAATGAGTTATAAAAACCTTCCACATTCAATAGCCCTACCTGTATTTGGATATAAGTGATTATTGTTATTAGATGATCAAGAATTGGAATGTGACAAAGATAAGAAAGTGCAAGCTAAGATTTCTCACAGGTTTCTTGTGGATTCCAAGCTGAGCCCATGTGATGACTTCAAGAAGTTCTTCAAGGGTGCCATAACCACCTGATTAATAAAAATTAATCAAGAGTAAGAAAAGGTTTGAACTTTATCATTTCAAGATTTAAAAATTTAATCTTTTCCTTTTTTCAATACCAGGGAGGGCAATAAAGGCATCGGCTTGCCGGGCCATCTCGGCTTTTCTTTGATGCATATCAGAGACAGCTCTCACTTCTCCAATTGGTCCACCAGTTATCTGTTCCATTCATATTTATATACCCAGCCATGCATGTTATATATTGGACTATATAAAGTGATGTTTGGCTTGGAGGACACAAAAGAACAAGAAAAATTATGGGGTGAATGAAGAAGAAGCAAATGAAGTGTAAAGTTAGTTTTCTGCCTCCACAATACCAAACAAGTGCAATCATAATGCATATATATCCAACAAGTTAATTGGGCCACAATTACAAGCTAAAAGAAGAAGAAAAAAAAAGAGCAAAAAAGGAAATCATCACTTGTGCAGGTTCAAGAGTTTTACCTCTCTAGGCATGAGAGACCTTGGGATTACCCTGCAATACAACATTTTCAGCAAGAATTGTTTTACTACTTGTGAAGTGTAAAAAATAATAAAATAAAATAAACATCTTGGTCAAAATAAAGAAGGAAAATGTTGACTTTTTGCCCTCAAAGCAATGAAATGTGTGCATTGATGAACGCAATTTCTCATCATGGCTCACATTTTCCAAAAAAGAATATCAATATTTCCAACAGTAGATGAGAGACTTCACTGCAACCATTTCACAAGTAATAAAAAGCAACAAAGTTTCTGACTTTTTTCTATGTTTTCAAAGAAGTTCCTCTTCAAACTGATGACATTATTACACATAGATTTCTTTATTCTTTTGGTGACCAAGACAGCCACAAAGGCTCTATATTAATGAAGTAAAACTCAAGATACTTGAGATTTCTTTACAGCATGCATGAGAACCACCTGAATGTGGTACTTCTCACAATTTAGTTGCATTAGGTTTTCAGTTTTTACTTGTCCAAAAGGGCAAAAAAAAGATAAAACAAAGAAAACTTTTGAATTATCCAAAACCAACACATCATAGCATCTTGTCTGGTGGGCTCCCAATAGAGTGGGGCCTACTCATTCCACCCTTATTCCCTCTTCTGTCTTTCAAGAATCTATTATTCTTCCTTCTTGTACAAATTACAAATGTTCTATATTTGACTTGTGGATATTAAAAAAAGTAAAATTATATAATTAAAAGTAATGCAGTGGAAAAGGAAATTAAATGGGGACCAAAAACTTTTCCAAAAGCGAAATCTTTTTATTGAACTTTGATTTTGAATTTTCAATAAATCAAAATAAATTGGATATGGGCATACATATCAAGAAAATCATAATAAAATCTTTTTATTATGATGTTTTGAATAACAAATTGTAAGTTTATAAATGAAAAAGAAAATCATACAAATAAACAGCTAGCCAATAGAATTCTTCAAATGTCTAAGGAAAACACATGCTTAAAGCAATAACAAGGCGCGTTTGGTTCCCAAAACCAGAGTTCAAGGCCTAAGCCTTTCCAAATTCCCAACTTTTACTATACAGTCAAACATGAATTAAACTTGGTGTCTTGGTGTATACTATCAAAGTTTAATTAAACAAGATTTCTTTGTCAAATTATTCTTTCTTTTGGTGTAAATACTCAGTATTAATCTTTTCCTCTTCTTGAGTATAGCAATATAGGTACTAGAGGACAGAGAGAGAGAGATGTAGGGTAGGGTAGGATAGGGTACCCTAGAACATGGCGCCCTCCATCATGAACTGCCTGAGAAACAAGACCCATCAGACCCACGCTTCCACCTCCATACACCAAATCAATCCTTCTCTCCACCTTCAAATCAAACCACAAAGAACAAAACCAATTTCATTAATTGTCTAATTTTTTTTAAAAAAATGCAAAAATATAAATATAAAATCACTAAAAAACAAAACAAAAGAATTACTGGTAAATCCCCCATATGCATGTGAAGGTACACAGTCAAAAAATTGTATGAAATGGACAAAGAAGCTATAGAACAGAGTCATGATTTCAATAAGGCACGTTTGGTTCCCCATTACTAACAACCCAAGAAATTAAAAAAAAACACGCAAGAACGGTGCTTCCAATTGACAGCCGTGTAACAGCTAGCAATATTCCCCCCTCCCTTTCTCTAACTCATGCCAAACGAGACATAAACCCTAAATCCCCACATAAAAATCATTTCTTTAATTAAAAAAACGCATAAAGAAAGCATTTTGATGAAAGAACGCAGCGAATAAACACAAATCCGTTGAAATAATGGGGAATATGAATTAAAGTTGGAATCTTTTTGCATCAAAAGAAAGCATACGAGGAGTTTGCCAAGTTCAATGGCGGCTTCTTGGTAGCTGGGTTTCTTCCCAGAACTGCTCCCGCAGAAAACGCAAATCCTGTTGAATCTTGATCTTTTTTCCTCCTCCATCGCTTTCTTTCACTTTCTGATCTCTATACGTAGATATATATAGATATATAATACGGTGTATGCGGAGTATTCGATATATATATATATATATATATTTATATATAGTGGTGAAGGGTCTTTGTATATTCTTTGAGCAATGATTTGTTGAAAGGTATATATAGGAGACAGATAGAGAGGCGAGAGGGCTTTGGGTTTATATTTGGGGTCGTTTCCCACCCTATATTTGCTAGGGTGCCACCACAGGTATGCTATCATGGGTGCATGGGTGCACTCATGCTTCGCACAGACAAACACAGACGATAATTGTCTGTGCGACACAGACAATTATCGTCTGTGTTTGTCTTTGCGAAGCATGTGTGCATCCATGGTAGCACCCGTGTGGTGGCACTCTATCATTTTCCAAAAAAAATTCGAGAACAAATTTGTTGGAGTATGTTTGGTTGGAGAGTAAAAAAGGAAAGAAATGTGGGAAGAAAAGACACCAAATTAAAAATACTTTTTTGACCATATATTATGGGAAAATTTTATTGAATTTTTATATAAATCTAATATCAATAGATTCATTATGAAACATAACTTTAAAATATATTATTTTTACAATATATATTTTTATATTATTGGTCAAAGTATTGTATTAAAAACCATGAAAAATCAAATAAAAAATTAATTTTAAATAGAATGAGTATAAAAATTCCATTTACATTTTTCGATTAGAGAAACACACGCTATCGGTGTGATTTTGATTTCAGAATCATTGATTTGCATTACCATTTTGGGTGAAATCGTGACAGGCATAGGTGATAAGAGTTCAAGTTCTATGTTTGTAACTCGAAAATAGAACTATTGATGATCTATATTAGTATTCTATCACATTCTTGATATTATAATTTATATTTTGGGATAAAAATATAAAATTCTTATTTTATTATTTTTTCTTTATTTTACTTCTAGTTTAGTCATTAATTTTCCGTACTAAAAATTTTTTCCACTTTCACTTTTCATCCGTCCAAAAAAAATCCATCTTAAATTAAAATTTTTCTTTTATCCCTAGTGAGAGAGACTCCAACGGATTTGCTAAATTGGTATAATGGTATAATTACTATGTACATATACCAATCTCTTTTCATTTTTTTGAGCTCGAACTGGTTGGTAAAAAATGCCATATTCGGTAAAATACCAATTGAAGTTGCCATATTTGGTGAAATACCAATTTCTAAAATACCAAAAGTGCCTATTTCGACTTAAGTTTAGCCATTGTGATTTGAACAAATAAAAAAAGTATTGATGGGTAAAAGTAAAACACTATTTCATAGGCATTTTAACAAATATGGAGTAGTAATTAATTTTTACTATCTCTCATTGAAGGTGCTCTAAGGACATGATCTTTTCGGTAGTGATGGGTATAATTTATGTTTGAAATAGAAGTTAAAGTGCATTTAGAGTAACCATCATAACCATATACATTTCAAAAAAATATTTTGAAGTGTTCAAATACATTGTTACATTACTAGAGTGCGAACTCATATTTTGGAGATAAAAATATGGAGTTCCTATTTTAGTTTTTTCTCTATGTTTTACTCTTATTTAGAATACATTTTATGTGGGTTCCACTCATATTTTATGCAGGATCACTTATATTTTCTCTCCTCTATTCATTCACTTTTTTCTCCTTTACTTATTTTTGTTAATCATTTATTAAAATAATGTAGATATATCATTTTTGAAGAAAATTTGATATAATATTTCAATATATAATTTTTAGATAAAAATTTTGTACGATTATTTTGAAAATAGGAAATAAAAAAAATTCAGAAGATTTTAAAATTTTTGTTGTGTCACGAAAAAATTGAGTGGAAAATTTAACATAAACGTGGCTTTTGTTATTGTTTGAGAAAAATCTTAAGCAAGAGAAGGTTGTTTGATGGTATGAACACTAATGAGAGATATAATCTATGATATGAATGGTTAATGGGTCCTAACAGTACATTTCAGGGTTATCAGATAATGTGAAATATACTAACAATATTTAAACATCAATTCTTTCAATGAATTGATGGAGAATTCTCACAAAAGCTAGATTGAACAAGTTTAGATAAAGAACATTTTTTTACTCTTGCCCTTATACCTGCAGGGACATTCAGATTAGGATTGGCAACGGGATTCAATACAAATGGAAAGCAACTAATGATAATGCACTCTTAGAAGAGTTCAAGCAAATCAAGGGAAGGAAGAAAGGTAGATTGTCATAGCTGGCTTTTTCTAAGAGCACTGGAAATACGGGCTTCAAACCGGGGCTTCAAACTCTCTCTCTCTGTCACGTCAGCTTTAACTTACACCAAAAATTTACTAGAAATGGGTTTGAAGCCCCGGGGCTTTAAACTGTGGCTTCAAACCTTCATTTTTTACATTTTTAAATATACATCTTCTAAATTTAAAAATCATAAATTTAAGTTAATTTATTATTTAAATTAATCGCAATGAGAATAGTGCATTATAAAAATTACATTCATTAAAAAAATATTACATTCATAAAAAAATACATTCATTAAAAAAATTACATTAATTTAAAAAAATGACATTCATAAAAAATACATTCATTAAAAAAATATTACATAAAAAAAAACACTACAAAGAAATCACTAATTATTTGAGCGACTAAAGATATGTTCGATCAAATCCGCCGTTAGTGCATTGTGAATCTCTCGGCTTCGAATTTCTTGGCGGTTTCTTCGTTTCTTTTCTTCGGTGATTTTTCGTACATCAGCACCTCCACATCTGGGTTTTATTGACAAATCGCAGTCCTGTTATCCTCTATGATCATATTATGAAGAATAATACATGCGTACATGATATTCCTCATTTTTGTTTGAGAATAACATTTCGACGGACGATCTAGAATGTGTCATTTAATCTTCAAGACCCCAAAGGCTCGTTCAATATCTTTTCTCGCCGCCTCTTGAGCTTTTTTGTAGGTCTGGCGTTTAAGACCCATTGGTTCGGAGAGAGATTTGACAATCGTGGAATAATCTGGATATATTCCATCGGCCAAATAATATCCACGCTTGTAAAGCGTCCCTCTAAGCTCAAAAGAGAGTTCGGTGTGGTCTCATTAACCTCATCATCAAAAATAGGCGATTGATCGAGAATGTTGATGTCGTTGTTCGAGCCCGCGACACCAAAAAAAGCATGCCAAATCCACAAGTCATTCGAAGCAACAGCTTCGAGCATCATGGTAGGCTTGGGATGATCTCCCCGGGAGAATTGACCGTGCCATGCAGTGGGACAATTTTTCCATTCCCAATGCGTGCAATCAATACTCCCAAGCATGCCGACAAAGCCGTGTTTAGCGGCATGCCTTGCCTGCAACTGCTGGATGTCGCTTGCTGTAGGCTTGCGTAAATATCATTTATGATAAATTTGAATAATAGTTTTTGAAAATTTATAAACACGGGACCTGATGCTCCGAGCCGACATCTTCAAGTATTCGCCGAACATATCAGATGTCATCCCGTATGCCAACTGACGGAGCGCGGCAGTGCACTTCTGGATGCTACTAAACCCGCGTCGGCCTCTCGCATCAAACCGTTGGGTGAACCAAGGAACCTCGCGTTCAACATCGGCGAGTATGCGTAAAAAGAGAGGACGACTCATCCGAAAACGATTACTAAAATCCTCCAGTGTATAAACACACAGATTATTAAAGTAGTCATTTAGAAGTGAAGCGTGGGCGGCCGCTCGATCCCGGTTTAAACGTTGTCGTCGGGTCTGTCGTCGAAAGGATTCGGCTTCTTCTTCTTCGCCTTCTTCCCACCATTGAATACAACTCGTGGCGAAACAACGAAAAAAGAGAGCTCTTTTTTCATCGTCGGATAAAGATGAACCTATTTTTAAAATATATTTTATAAATATTTATAATAAATAATAAATATTTTAGAGAGAATATAGAGAGAGATGTGTGAGAGAATGATTTTTTTAGAAGAATTTATAGGTTTTTTAATTTTGATTTTTTTTTTTAAAAATGGGGGGGGGGGAGGGGAAACGGCTATATAGCCGTTGGGGGAGGGGTAACGGTTGGCTTAACCGCGTCAAACGAATGACGCAAAGGCAATGACGCCGGGGTAACACCGCCGGGGGCGGTGTTTAACGCCCCCAGGGCATTAAAAGCCCCCTCACGCCCCCGGACGTTACGACCATACCCAGTGCCCTAAAATATACTCCCTCCCTCCCCAATTACATTAGAATTTTTTTCTCCCTCATCTCGATAACTTTTGTTTGTTTACGCGATTTCATTAACTATTTGATAAAATAAAATATCGGTATCAAATTTTATTTTGTAAAACTTTTGATTTGGTTTTTTAATATGTAATTTGTATTTTTTATCGATATACCGATTTCTAAATAAAATGATCACTCGAATTTAAAAAAGTCAGATATTTCTTTTCGAAATTCCCAATTTGAAGGTAATCAAATTAGGGAGAGAAAGTATATGTTATGCAAGAGTATAGATGGCCCGAAACATGAAGATCAAGCAACATAAATGTATCCCACCTGAAAAGAGTAGGGAGTGGATTAAATTCCAAATAAAAACTTTTAATAATTCTAAGCTTAAGAGCATTTGTTTGAGGTAGGTAATTTTAGTTCGGGAGCGTCTAAAATGACACCAGTTACTTATACATTAGTTGCTTACACTAGTTTGTTTGGGATACCTACGGTGCTCCGTTTGTAAAAACGGCGGTTCCTACCCCCATAACCCTCCTCCTAAACCCCTCCACCCCAGCCCCACCCTTGCCCCCCACCCCAGCCCCCCCCCCCCCAGGGTAGGAAGGGGGGCGGGATGGAGGCTGGGTTGGGGAGGCAGTGTACTGCCAGGGTAGGGAGGGGGGCTGGGGTGGAGGGGCAAGGGTGGGGCTGGGGTGGGGGGTTTAGGGGGAGGGTTAGGGGGTAGGAACCGTCGTTTTTACAAACGGAGCACCGTAGGTACCCCAAACAAACTGGTGTAAGCAAATGACACTAGTAGCACTGGTGTCATTTTAGACTCACCGTTTTAGATTTGTTAGAAGTTAGTTGTGCTGAAGTTGTATTTCGGATAACTTGTTTGGTGGGCTGAATAAAATTATGTGCATTTGTTAAAAAAAAACAAAAAAAAAACCTCAAAGTGATAAAATTTATCATTTGTGAATTTTAATTTTTACTTTTTAAATTATTTGAGATCATCTGTTTCTATTAGTAAAATGATGATATGCAAATTTTGGATTTTATCATGGCTGGTCCTGAAATTTTGATGGCCTAGGCCGACACAGAAAAAAGATCCTACAATCTTTATCTCTAATGGTTTAACAAAATAAAGTGTGCAAAGTAATTATATTTAAATAGAAATTAATATACTAGTATTACAACAAAAAGAGTAAATGATAAAATCATAGTACGGTCAAGGGTTAATTAGTTGACCCTGGGATCAACGGATCAATTGTTATTAAATAAAATATTTTATATTACATTATTAGATATTTTTAATTAATAAGGAATTTTAATTTGTATATTTTCACTCTTTCATGTAGATAGTTTTCAATATATTTCTATACATACCGTTACACTTTCTATTTTTCTTTGTATTTTTATTACTACTAAAGATAAATAATGAATATGTAATAAATACTACTCCGTAAAATAGTTAGGCAATATTCATATTTTTAAAAAGTAAAGGCTTGGGAATGTGTTCTTATATAATACTTTGTAATTCGTAAGTAATACGTCACATTTATATTTAGTTGATTGAAACAAGAAAAAATAGATGAAAAAATTAATTTTAATATATTAAAGAATAATTAA